TCTCAATGATGCCAGGAAGAGACTCCTGATTAGAAGTTTGTTACACAATTGGAAAGCTGATGTCTTCTGCTTTCAGGAGACGAAATTACAAGGGGATATAAGGGAGATCATTAAAGATTTATGGTCGAATAGATGGGTGAAGTACGTGCAACTAGAAGCTAGTGGCACAAGAGGGGGCATAATTCTAATGTGGGATAGCAGACTGTGGGATGGGGAAATATGCGAGACAGGTACATACTGTATAACTTGTAAATTTGTGGGCAAAACTCAGGACCTCAGTTGGCATATGACAGGAGTTTACGCTCCAAATTGTACATTAGAAAGGGAGGAGGTCTGGTGGGAACTAGGGGCTGTAAGAGGACTTTTCACAGGTCCTTGGGTGGTGGTGGGTGATTTTAACACCGTTAGATTTCCTTCAGAAAAGAAGAACTGTTCAAGATATAATAAAGCCATGAGGGATTTTTCAGAGTTCATCGAGGATATGGAGCTAGTGGACTTACAATTAGCAGGGAACAAGTATACTTGGAAGAAAGGGGAAAGCCATGATGTTGCAGCCAGACTAGACAGATTTTTGATTTCTGAAGCATGGGAAAACTCTTTTAGGAACATCAAGCAATCAGTCCTACATAGAGTAACATCGGATCACTGTCCCCTAATTCTTGAATGTGGAAATTGGGAGAGATCAATTTCTTTCTTCAAATTCGAGAACTGGTGGCTGCAGACAGAAAATTTCAAGGAGAAAGTAAAGTTATGGTGGGAATCTCACCACTGTAGAGGCAGACCAGATTATATTTTAGCTGACAAACTAAAATATTTGAAAGGCAAGCTAAAAGAGTGGAGTAGGACTAGCCAAGGCAACCTGGGACTACAAAAACAGAGTATCCTAAGTCAGTTGACAGAGCTTGAGGTAATACAAGACCAGAGACAGTTATCTGATGATGAGATCTATCTAAGAACAACTCTCACTGTGGAGTTTGAGGAAAATGCAAAAAAGGAGGAGGTCGCGTGGAGACAAAGGTCCAGAGCTATATGGTTGAAAGAAGGTGACAAAAACACAAAGTTTTTTCACAGAACTGCAAACTGTCACAAAAGATATAATAATATAGACAAACTTCTGGTGGATGGTGAGTGTACAGGGGACTCATTAGTGATCAGGGAGGAGATTGTCAAATTTTATCAGAAGTTGTATACAGAATCAGAGATATGGAGACCTCAATTCAACCATAGATCAGGTGTTGTTATCAGCGAAGAAGATAACTTAATGCTAGAAAGTCAATTTAGTGAGGCTGAGATCAAAGAATGTGTGATGGCATGTGCGAGGGACAAGGCACCTGGGCCGGATGGTTTCACCATGGCATTCTTCACCAATTGCTGGGAAATAGTAAGCAAAGAAGTAGTGGCAGCAGTTCAGAACTTTCATAATCAGAACATTTTTGAAAGAAGCTTCAATGCCACCTTCATAGCCTTGATCCCAAAAAAATTGGGGGCCAAAGAACTAAAAGACTTTAGACCTATTAGCTTAATAGGTAGCATATATAAGATCATCTCAAAAGTGCTGACTGAGAGGCGGAAAAAAGTTGTTTCAAAACTGGTAGATACACATCAGATGGCATTTATTAAGGGCAGGCAGATCATGGATGCTATTGTGATTGCCAACGAATGTGTAGATGTGAGGCAAATTAGCAAGGTCCCAGGCATTCTTTGTAAGCTGGATATAGAGAAAGCCTATGACCACTTAAATTGGGGTTTCCTATGGAAGACTTTGGAAAACATGGGTTTTGGGGAAAGATGGATAAACTGGATCAAATTTTGCACCACTACAGTGAAATTTTCAGTTTTGATTAATGGCTCTCCCACAGGTTTCTTCTCATCTGAGAGAGGCTTGAGACAAGGGGATCCATTATCTCCTTTTCTCTTTATCTTGGCAATGGAGGGTCTCAATGATATGCTAAGAACAACCCAAACAAACAGCTGGATAAGGGGTTTCAATGCAAACATGGGGGATAGACAGAGTCTAGCTATCTCACATCTCCATTATGCAGATGACACGCTAATATTTTGTGATGCAGACATCAGTCAACTGAAGTTTTTAAGAATAATATTGATATTGTTTGAGGCAACTTCAGGTCTACACATTAATTGGGGCAAAAGTTACATCTATCCAGTCAATGAGGTACCTAGAATTGACAGTCTGACAAATATTCTGGGAGGAAAGATAGGGGAGCTGCCCACAATATATTTGGGAATGCCTCTAGGAGATAAGAGCAAATCAAAAGGCATATGGAACAATGTACTGGAGAAAAGCGAGAAGAAGCTTGCCAATTGGAAAAGTCAGTATTTATCCCTGGGTGGCAGAGCTACTCTCATCAACAGTGTTCTTGATGCTTTGCCTACCTACATGATGTCGGTGTACCCTATGCCAGCAAGTGTAAGAGACAGATTAGATGCCATTAGAAGAAATTTTCTTTGGCAAGGAAACTGCGATCCAAATAAGCACAAGTTTCACTTGGTCAAGTGGAATGAAGTTTTAGTCAGCAAGAAAGAAGGGGGACTAGGAACAAGGAATCTGAAAATACAAAACCACAGCTTGCTAATGAAATGGCTGTGGAGATTTGCATCACAAGAACAGTCGCTGTGGAAAGTCACCATTAAGGCTAGATATGGAATGGAGACAAGGTGGATTAGCAACATAGCAACACAACCATATGGCACCGGAGTGTGGAGGACAATCAGGAATCTATGGCCAAAACTTATAAACAAGTGCACAATTAAGATAGGAGATGGTGGAAAAACTCTATTTTGGGAGGAAGTTTGGGCGGGACAAGCTTCACTTAAAGCTAGTTTCCCTGACCTATTCAGCTTGAGTCTACAGAAAGTGGCCACTGTCAAAGAAATGAGAGATGCTCAAGGTTGGAATTTAAAGTTCAGAAGACCTTTAAATGATTGGGAGGTGAATAGAATGGTTGAATTTCTAAATATCCTGGAACGATACAAGGAACTCAGTAACAATGAAGACAAACTGTTATGGGCTCCAGATTCACGGGGGAAATTCTCAGTTGGAACAGCTTACAAAAACTCACAGAGGACACACACTCAATCAAGCTACTGGCCATGGAAAATGATCTGGAAAGTTAAGGTGCCCTTCAAGGTGGCCTGTTTTACTTGGCTCTTAGCAAAACAGGTTGTTCTCACGCAGGATAACCGTATGAAGAAGGGCCTCGATTTGTGCTCCAGATGTTTTTTTTGTGAATGTGAGACAGAGACAATAAATCATCTCTTTTTACACTGTAAGGAGACAGTGAAACTTTGGCAAATTTTCATCAAAAGAAGGGGCATCAGTTGGTCTATGCCAGGAAACATAAAGGAAGCTTTGGCATGTTGGAATCGGGATGGAAATCAGTCGGGGCACAGGGAGAGATGGAAGATTATCCCAGCCTGCATTTGGTGGACTATTTGGCTGGAAAGGAATCAAAGATGTTTTGAGAACAAGAGCTGCTCTATGGAGAAGCTGAAGCTGAAATGTTTAGCTCTGTTCTATTTTTGGTGTAAACATGAATATCCTCATGAAGATGAGGATATCACTAGTATGTTAGAGTCCTTAAGGAGTTCATAGGTAAACAAAAACACTTTTGTATTTCTGATTGTAAGTATTACTGGAATACATCCTGAGTATTCTTGTGTTTATAATACAAGTTACCTTTTCAAAAAAAACATAAGAAATCTAAAGAGAAGGGGGATGCAATTGTGTTCAAGGTGCTATCTATGTGGAAAGGAGGCAGAAAGCTATTGTCACTTATTTATACATTGTGTGGTTTCTAGAGTCCTCTGGAACCCTTTTTTGAGTATGAAAGGCCTGTCATGGATCATGCCTAGGACTAGAAGGGAACTGCCTTCTTGTTGGAATTTTTCTGGTGGACTAATTGGACAAAAGAAATGGTAGAAGATTATTCCAAGTGGACCATTTGAAAGGAAAGAAACATTAGTTGTTCTGAAGGAACATCAGCTCCTTACAAAAGATTAGTATGAACTGTCTTTTTTGTTTCGATTTTGGTGCAAGGAAGATTTTGTCCAGGATATTGATTCACTGGTAGATATCATAGCATCCCTGTAGTAGGTGGTAGAAGATATGCATGCTGTTGGTTTTTTCGTCTATGGCTTTAGCAGTCTTTGTGCTACACTTGTATACTACTGTTCCAGTTCTCAAAAAACTATATATGCACAAAATGAAGTGTAAAATACCTTGTGAAGACAAAGAAATATATAGGTGAAGAATGTTTTTATCATGCATTGTCACTGTATACTTTCTTGATAGAAACATCAAAGGGAGTATGAATTTCAGAAAAGACTTGAATGATAAAAAATAATTAAGGGCACCCCGGTGCACTAAACTCCTGCTATGCGCAGGGTTCGGGGAAGGGATGGACCACAAGGGTCTATTGTACACAGTCTTACCCTGTATTTCTACAAGAGTCTGTTTCCACAGCTCAAACCTGTGACTCTTTGCCACATAACAACAACTTTACCTGTTACAACAAGGCACCCCCTTCTAAGATAGAAAATAACCAAGTTATATTTTTTCAGAAGAAATAACTAAGTGCACCGAGAACCATTATCAACAAAGGTGACATAAAAATGAAAACCTAAAGTAGAGCTGACATGACTTTGACCACATATATCTGAATGGACAAATTCAAATGGAGATGGAGCTCCATTGCTAGTTCTTTCTGAAAGAGGAATGATCGTGTTTCCATATTTAACAATGTCCTAATTCTTAATACTAAATAAGTTGTTTGAGAGGCATTTATTGTTAAGTCAGGGATTGTGTAACTCCTTGTTTGGTCTATTTGGACTTGGTTGTTTAAAGAATTAGTTTCACTCGTCCTGATGCATGTCCTTGATTATAGATGGTATTACGTGCTTGCACATGATTTCTTTTTAGTTGTCACCCATTAGTTTTCTTTACCATTGTGCCCCCATTGAGTTTCTCCTTAGCTATATCACGTATCCCTGCATTAATGAAGATCAGTTCTGAAAGGAATATGGTGAGTCGCCTCAAAGGAGACATCAAGCAACTTAATTTCAAACTTGCGCAACTTCAAGTATCGTTGGAGGAGAAAGAGACTCAGCTGCATCAGTTAAGGAGGTGACAGCTGTTACAATTTGTTCTTACTGAAAATCTTGAAGTCTACTAATTGCATTATTTGATCTCAGTAATTCTTTGTTAGCAACGGAAGTCATTGTTGGGACTGACAGCTCATCAAATCCTCTTGCTGGTTCTGGGGAACCCATAGTTTTCGTACCGGCGTCTCATGTTATTTGTGTCTCTGCAAGTGCACAAGCTGGTGAAAGAGAACCTAAACACAGTGAGGATATCAGGCCTGATGATACTCAAGTTTCAACTTCTAAAATTAGTAATCACAGTGGTCAGAGTGAGAGAAGTGATGCCTTCTTCTTCTTTTTCTTCTTCTTATGATTCTGATCATGATTCTGATTCTGAGATGAGCTATTATGTAATCTTTCAACAGACACTGGAAATGATGCGCAGCGAGAAGAAGAATTCCCTGAAGTGAGAGTGGACTTCCAGGTAGACTCTTAATTTGCCTGAGTTTTCAGTTTTTCTTCTCCCTAATTACTTCAGCATCTCCTGTCTTAATTTTCTGTTCATGCTCATCATAAAGTCATAGACATAAAATCTATAATTGTTCTTCCTTTCGGGAACTGAGGTGGGGTTAATTGATTGTTCTGCAATAATATTTTACAGGAGACATTCTTAGGCCACACAAGTCCAATAAGTCGTTGCCGTTTTTCTGCTACTGGGGACAATGTTGCTAGTGCTTCTGTGGATGGGACAGTCAGGTATATTCTCCTAGCTGACATGCATTCTCATATAAATGTTTCTGAAAAATTGCTTTTTTTGATCTTAAAAAAAAAATGTTTCTGAAACATGAAGAAATTTTGTGTAGTACCAATCCACAGAGTTAAAGAAAGTTGGAGTTTGAAGTACCGTATCATTTTGATTTAATTTTGTAATAATGCATTTCCATAAAATAATAAATAATTACCTCCTCTGGCGGCATCTCCCTTTCATTCTTTCACAAAAGGGTACAATCAAAAGAGAGGGGATTAAACATCCTTACCTCACAATTCATGCAAAGTCTATACAAAAAATTACTAGACAATTTCATCCTCCTCCATGTATACAATAATACACCATGAAGCAACAGAAGAGAAGAGACTTCCATTCTCAAAAAAAGAGTTCTTCCTTGTTTACTCCTTAATGCAGCCATCTGGATGAAGTTCAAACTCTATGGCTCTTTGCCTTGTTCTGGTAAATTCTAAGGAGAAGTTATTGATCTGGAAAATGGTGGATTCCGCAATTACATTGCTCAGCTGAGCTTTTCTAATGGTATCCTGCATCTGCCATGCTGTATTACTCTTTCCTGCAGCATATCTATGACTATAAGAGAGTCACATTCTAGTATGATGCAAGTAAAACCATTCTCTGTATACCAGTTCAAGCCAAAGAGAACTGCTTTTACATCAGTCATGTTGCTACTGCCTCTTCCCAAACACAATAAAATGCTATGTTCATGAATCCTTGCCTCTACATATCCTCCTGCACCAGATATTCCTTCCATGTTCTTGTTACCATCTGTCTTGATTTTAAACCAAGTATCAGGGGGCCTTTGTCCATTTCACAATTGCACATTCAGTTATAGGATCAAGTTCCATAATTTCTTCACAAATTCTGTTCCGACTAGAATCCAATGTATTGCTGCTCCTAGTCATATTTTAGTAAGGAATTGAAAAGCTGATGAGTGATAAAGGATATTTTATTTGATGGAACAGAGGGAGAAGGATGATTCCATTTGGTAGGTAAGGTAAATGTTACCAAACCTTTTAGGCAAACAATTATGGAGGTTTGCACATGAAGACCAAGTCATGTGAAAAATGATGATTCAGGAAAAATATAGGGGTAGTTTATAAAGTGATCCTCTGAGTGTATCACCACCTCATACGAAACTAGTGTGTGGAAGGGAATTGTGAAAGATTAAAGAGAAGTTCTTTAACTTCATTACTTTTGCAATCGTTAATAGTAGATGTCTTATTTTGGTTGGATATTTTGTGTGGTGGTACAACTCCTAAAATTCTATAACACTATAAAGCTGAATAAGATGTCAAGGAAGGAGATCAAGTATTGTGTGACTTCTCTTTCAGAAACCGGTTAAAAGTCCCACAACATATTTGAGGGGATTAATTGAACCGTTTCCTATCGAAGATCTACTGATGTAAACAGTATGGGGAAGTTGATAGATTGCTAAGGGAAGCTATGGGGAGTCTAAGACTTTAAATTGTTTCGTCTCTTTCCTTTGGTGACTTCTTTGTTATACAAGACCTCAGTACAGGAAGAATAATTGGGAAAGGGCATGAGTCAGATGGACTTATCATCTTAGTTCTGACAAATCTACTACAGTTTGTTCAATCTCCGACTCCCCAGGTTTAATCTACAGACGATTGGGACACCCTAGTTTATCCAAACTTCAGAAGATAGTACCTAGCTTGTCCAAATTATCTTAGTTAGATTGTGAGTCATGTCAATTGGGGAAGCACACCCGAGTCCTAATAGTCATGCAGAGTCTCTTTTTCATTTAGTTCATTTTTGATACTTGGGGTCCTAGTACAGTTAGTTCAACATTGGGTTTTAAGTATTTTATTACTTTCATTAACCATTACTCAAGGTGGTGCACTTGGATGTTCTTAATGAAAGATCGTTCTGAGTAATTTTTCATATTTCAAACTTTTTGTGCTAAAAAAAAATCAGTTTGGTGTTTCTATTCACACTTTTCGTAGTGATAATGCACATGCATATTTATTATCTTTTAAACAGTTTATGTCTTCCCATGGAATTCTTCATCCGGCATCTTGTCCTTACAGTGCACCACAAAATGGGGTCGCAAAGAGAAAAATAGGCATATTGTTGAGACTGCACACACTCTTCTCATACAAGCAAATGTATTGCGTTTTTTGGGGGGATGCAGTGCTCTCCTCTTGTTATTTGATTAACCTTATGCCTTCCTCTTCTATTCAAAATCAGGTACCTCATTTTGTTTTGTTTCTTTAGTCAACCTTATTCTCTCTTCCACCACATATCTTTGGGACACATGCTTTGTCCATACACTCACTTCAAGAAAAGATAAATTTGCTCCCGATGCTCTTAAATGTGTTTTTCTCGATTATTCAAGTGTACAGAAGGGATATCTATGCTTCTCACCTAACCTCCAGTGATACATAAGTCTGTTCATGTTACTTTTTTTTGAATGTCAGACCTACTTTAATATCCTCTTCTATTGAACAATTAAGCATTTCAGAGGTTCTACCAATTCCGTCTTTTGGGGATCCCACCATAGTCTATCCTTCCACGTCATCTCCTAACTCTATCTTCCTCCTCTGCACCTCCACCACTATTGACCTATCATTGTCGTCTGCGCCCAGATGATTCATGCCTGCCATCGGTATCCTTGCTTGCAGAGGACTTGTCTAAACAATGTCCTTCTATTGGGACTGGAAAAGGTAATCGATCTCCTTGTAATGTCATAGGATTTAAACCCTGCATTATAATAAATTCCATCTTTCCCCATATCTATTGAAAAGTCCGGTCAGAGCAGCAGGAGAATTTCTCCCCTAGAGAGTGAAAAATTCAAAAATGGCTAAAACTAACAACCTCGAAAAACGTGCCTGAGAGCTTTTTAAAAACTCTTTGCTGAATACTTGCTGAATAAAGTGCCAATTCCTTCTCCGTCTTAATTGACAGGGATCTACCTAGAATAATGCAAGGTTATGATCAGTGTTATCTAAGGCGAAAAGCGCAAATAAGCTCTAAGGTCCGTGAGGGCTTTAAGCGCAAATAAAGCGTGGGCTTTAATGTAAAAAGGCGCAAAGGGAGAAAAGAACACAAATATATATATGTTTAGTCCAAGACTAATAATTATTAACATGAATGACAAATATATGACCAAAGAAATTGAATTTTTTTTTATGATAAAGTGAATTATCAATTATTTAGTGTCACTTCTTCATACGAGGCTCATTGGCAAGGAAAGGTTTTCCTTAGAACCTTGATGACGTCACTGAAGCTCACATAAAGCGAGGCGAAGCGCTCAACACGTTTTGAGCCTCGCTTCAGGGCTTAAGCACGCCTTTGATAACACTTATGATTAGCCGTGGGATGAAAAAGCTGGAGACTAGAATAAAAAACTATGCAAGGATACTTTTCATTGTACTTTTTGGCTAATTTAGAGAAAAATTAATAGAATTTTCAAGGTTGAACAAAATTCTATGAGGAAATTTAAGAGCTCCATTGTTTTTCATTTGATCTTTTCTCTGGGATCAATCTTCATTCTGTCATTCTTTGGAGTAGAAGGATATGGTATAGACATTGATGATTGGATTCTGCAGGGTTTGATGTATATCCACACTCTGTAGAGTGACACCATCTTGGTGTACTGTCATTGAAACTTTTTGACTTGCCAACAAATTATGCTATCCTGATCTTGTATTGATATTAATGTATTCTGATGAAGGATATGGACATATGACTCATCAGCACCAACATCAAGAAATGCAACCATCTATTGTGGGGCAGAGATCATGTCACTTGAGTGGGAGTGCAAATCTGACCGACTGGTATAGACACTATCAATATAATAGACATACATTATTAGGTTCCATGATTCTTGTTTCTTTTTCATGTTAATTGATATAGTTGCTAGCTTCAATACTGGATTGGTTCTAAAGCTTCTGGAACTAATGTTCATCTTGAGAAAAGCTTCTCATAGGCACAGCTGATGGAGGAATCAAAGCATGGAATGTCGATGCTAAACGTGTTGTTTGTGATCTTAGTTGCACAGAAGCATTCCCAAGGTTCCTCACACTCATGGGATTTACTCTCTTCTTTCTGAAAAAATGAAATACTTGGACACTGTCTTACTTGTTCTTTTATCCTTCCCATTTCATGTTTTCCCGGATACAGCGTGTTGGATTTAAAATGCAGCCCTGTGGAGCCAATTTTCGTATCTGCTGCTGCATCGAGATGGTAACTTGTACTTCTACCTTTCTCTTGTACTTTCTTCATGTACTTTTTTGATCTAAAGCTCTCTATCTATTATCTTGATGTCCTGATATGTATAAGTTATAACTTAAGAATGTATAACTTTGATGTCCTGCTATGAAGAAGTTATAGCTTAGATTTTTGTCACAATTCCTCTGCTTTAAGCAATTTTAGAGAAATAGTTGTGAACTGAAAATTCTTCTATTAATAACTAGTATGTGCAGGCTACAGTTCTCGGTATCTAGTTTTCTTTGTTTAGGTCCATCTAAATTCAATACTAATAAATAGTTCATCTTTAAGAACAAATGATGGGGTTCTTCAAATCTCACACTTATCCCTACATGGGTATACAAGTCCCTAACAAGATTAAAAGAATTTCTTGGGCATGCAATCATGGCTTCAATGTCCATGTTATAGGAGGCAATCATGAATTGTAGTTGTAGAAAGCAGAGGAGAAAGAGAATGTCAATGCACACGAATCATATAAATTGACCAGATTTGAAGGTTTGTCTCATGTCTGGGGCGTAGATTCTTGGTGTTGCCGGCACCTGATGCCATTGCTGGCCTAGATTCTCAACTACATATCTGGGGATGCCACTGGGTAACAACCACAAAGAACTAGAAATATGGGATGTAATTGTGGAGAAGACTGAGAAAAAGTTAGCCACCTGGAAGACACAATACCTATCTCTGGGAGGAAGAATAACAATGATCAATTCTGTCTTAGATGCTGTCCCTACTTATGTTATGTCTCTCTTTCCCTTACCTGCTAAAGCGGAAGATAAATTAGATAAACTAAGGAGAGATTTACTTTGGTTGGGAAACAAGGAAGGAAAGGGCACTCACTTGGTCAAATGACAAATTGCTCAACTAAGCAAGAAATCGGGAGGTCTTGGCATTAAGAATCTAGGTCTGCAAAATAGGTGTTTACTGTCAAAATGGCTATGGAGGTTTGGTAAAGAGGGGCAGGCTCTGTGGAAGGATGTTATCGTTAGCAAGTATGGACAAACTGATTCATGGACCTCCAACATTGTGACCAGCACCTATGGGGTCTCAGTTTGGATGTCTATCAGAAATTTGTGGCCAAAACTAGCTAGGAACATATGCTACAAGGTGGGTGAGGGGACTAGGATCCTTTTTTTGGAAAGACAAGTTGGATAGGACAGAACTCCCTCATGGAGGACTTTGCAGATTTGTACTCTTTTTGTAACAACCCTGGAGCATCTATTGCTGAGATGTAGTCTCAGCAAGGGTGGAATATAACCTTTAGGAGGCTCTTAAATGACTGGGAAGTGGATAGAGTGGCCGACTTACTGCAAAGGTTGGTTGGAAGATTTTCCGGGACTCAACACTAATCCTGATGCAATCATATGGAAACATGATAGTGATGAGGAGTTTTCTGTTGGAAGTACAAAAGAGACCTGGCAACACATCCGGGGGGGCATTTTTGGACCTTGGAAACAAATCTGGAAGTCCAGCACTCCAACCAAGATAGTGTTTCACATGGTCGGAGTGCAGAAAAGCATGCCTGACTCGGGTGAGATTGAAAAAAATAGGATTCCAGATTGTTTCTAGGTGCTTCTTCTACCATGAAAAGGAGGAAACAAACAACCATTTGTTCCTTCACTATAGAGTGACGGCCCAGATATGGTATATGTTTCAAAGCCTTATCCAAGATCCTTGGGTGGTGCCTGAGCATCCTTGTAGACCTACTAAGCTGTTGGATGAGAAGAGGGGGAAGTAAAACACAGAAAAAATGGTGGAATCTAGTTCCATCTTGAATATGGTGGTCAATTTGGAAGGAAAGAAACAATAGATGTTTTAAGAATATTACTAACCCAATGCAGAAAGTAAAAGAAAACTGCATTAATACTCTATATTTTTGGTGTAAAGAAGAGGGTATATATGAAGTATATCAGTTAGTAGATTTCCTAGGCTCTTTGTAATCATGACTACTTTGCCTTGAAATTTTTTGTTTGGTTGCCAGCATACCTCATTGCTGATGAATACAACTTTACCATTCTAAATAAAAAAAGAACTCTTGAAAATTCCAACCTTCCTATCCACGACAGGCATTTTTTGTAAGACTAATGTATGAAATCCATAAGGGAACATTGGAGAGTCAAGCGGAACTCGAAAATCATTCTCCACCCTATGCAAAAATTATATCAAAGAGCGAATGAAAACATTAAGACTGACCACTTAGAAACTGGTTGTATCTCTTGTAGATGAAGTTGGAGTATATATAGTTTTATCAATGGAAACTCATCAAATTCTTTAACTTAAAATTAAAAAAGAGAAGCTGTTTAGAAATGCTTGGACTTCCACCTAGTAACTCACTGCAAGTTATTTCATTCACTTGAATGACTTTTTATCTTCCATTACATCTTTAAAGCACATTTGAATACTTTAAAATTGATTATCTAATTAGTTATTGGAACATGTTTTTACGTTTGTACATAAAAAAAAAAGAGTAGAAATAGTATTTAGTGAAGGGTAAAATGGTAATCCAATTTTGAGGTTAGGAGCTTCCCACTTATAATAATAATATTTATATATATATATATGATATGATATGATATGATATGATGATTATGCTATTTGATTCTTCAAGTTCATTAGTATTGTGGTTTTCCTTACTTTGGTTATCTATACTAACTGTCAGTACCGCTCTTTCTTTATTTTTTTTCGACCAAAGTTTCTTACTCTTTCAACTCATTACGACCTGTTCTGTGAAATGATATTCTTGAGCCGAGGGTCTATTGAAAACAACCTCTCTACCTCAGAAAAGTATGGGGTAAGCTGTAAGGTGTGTGTACACCCCACCCTCCCTAGACCCCACTTGTGGGACTGTACTTTCTTTAATTTTATTTTCATCATAGTAAGTTGCAACTCATTCCGACCTGTTTTGTAAAATGATTTTCTTGAGCCGAGGGTCTATCAAAAACAACCTCTCTATGCCACAAAGGTAGTGGTAAGGTGTGTATGCATCCCACCCTTCTAAGAACCCACTTGTGAGAGTATACTTTCTTTAATTTCTTTTTACATCATAGCTTCTACTCTTGCAACTCATTCAAACCTGTCTTGTAAAATGATTTTCTTGAGTCGAGGGTCTATCGAAAACAACCTCTCCACCCACTAAGGTAGGGGTAAGGTGTGTGCACACCCCACCCTCCCTAGACCCCACTTGTGGGACTGTACTAGGAATGTTGTTGTTAAATGAGAGTTTTGATATGCTTAATTACGATGTATATAGTTCTTGTTTGCCTCAAAAGGGATCCTAAATTGCAGTTTTGTAGGCCTGGTTCGAGTGACATTGGTAAATTGGGCTATGCTTCTTTAACTGTCTGGAACATGAGGACATGGAAAGCTATGGTATGTGATTATATTGGGTCCGGGTTGTATCCAAGTGCTGAATTTACAACACAATTTCTTTTCCTTTCTTCATAAGGATTCTCAAACCTAACTCTCTTCAAACTTTATTGAAGACAGTCCTTCCTCTTGGTGAAGATCCACCTCCAATTACTTCAGTATGCTTCAATCACAATGGAAAACTTTTAGCAGCTGCAGCTACTGATGGAATGATACACATGTTTGGTATCCTTGTCTGAACTTGTGAACATAGTCTGTAGCCGTCCTCTCTTATACCTTGCATTAGAAACTTTTATATTTATTTCCAATTTCCATATTCTGTGTCTATTTCTCTCTCTCTCTCTCTATATATATATATATACTAGTTTTGACGCACGTGCAACATCAAACCATGTACAACACAATTTTTAAAAATATTGTGAATATGATTAAATAAAGAAATTAAGTAAACAATTATAAAATGAATGATAAAGTATAAGTTCCTATGAATTTTGGATTAAACTTTCTTATGATTAGTATTGAAAGTTCCCCATAGTGCATTACTTTGTTATTATTGTATTGTTGGAGTTCTTATTTTTAATATAATATATATAAATATTAATATAAATATAAGAGATATACTAAATTGGATGTTTTTATTTGGAGTATTATATTAATTTAACATTCATGTTAGGGAGTGTAATGAGCATGTGCATATTATTCCTAATCATAAAAGTCATAACCCTTCAGAAGGCCACAAAAATCATCAGAAAAGTCATATAACACTTTGTAAAAGTCGTAACCATTCAATGTGAAATGGTGTCTTCTTTTAATATAATATAATATAATATAATATAATATATATAAATAAATATAATATAAAATATAGAAGATATAATAAATTTGATGTTTTAAGATGAAGAATGAAAAACTTCAAACAATTGTAATTTAAAAATTTGAGGAAACCCCTCTTTTTATAGCCAACAAAGGGTAGTGTATGAAAAAATGCTTATTGTGCCTTATTAAAAAAGTGTCACAACCCTTCAAAAAGGTCACAACTCATCGGAAAAGTCATAACTCTTTGAACATGTCACAACCCTTTGGAAAAGTCACAACTCTTCGGAAAAGTCACAACCCTATAAAAAAGTAACAACCCTTCGAAAAGGTCACAACTCATCGGAAAAGTTATAACTCTTTGGAAATGTCACGACTCTTCAATGTTTAAAGGTGTATGCTTTTAATATAATATAATATAATATAAAATAAATAAATAAATAAAATACAATATAAATTATGTAAGATATACTAAATTTGGTGTTTTAAGTTGGGGGTAGATAAAGAGATAGCTATGGAATTGTCTAATTTTAGTTTCATATGAAATTTAAAAAAATAAAAAAGACTTTTAATTTAACGACATGTAGAATATATAAAAATATCTTTTAACTTTGTGGTCTTAAAGATGCGCCCTCCACCCCCAAGAAAAAAAAACATTCTATATTAAACTAAATAAAAATAGAAGTACAACAAATATATTGGAAACGGAGGAGTACTTATTAAATCTAGTTTGGACTCTTCAAACAAGTTTTTGATCAAATCGATTTTCTCCAAAAGTTTGAGACTTTTCACAACTTGAACACCATGTTGTGCTTTGCGCAACATAAAATCATTGAACTTCTTGTCAAGTAGAAGTTGTTGCAAAAGTATATGTATGGCTATGAAAATGAGTATATATTAATTATCTAGATAGTCTTCTCGTTTGAAGTTGAGTTATTTTATTCTCCTTGCTGCATCAATTTTTGTTGATCTATCTAATTTAGCCACAAAAAAATATTGTAATTGCATAATTGAACAACTTTCACAATCTCCCTTGTTTCAAGAAGAAGAATAGAAAACTTACAAAATTCATAGTTTAAAAGTGTGAGAAAACCTCTCTATTTATAGAAAACGAAAGATAATATGGAAAAATGCTTATCGTGCCTTATAAAATAAGTCAAAACCTTTTAGAAAAATCACAACTTTTTGGAAATTTCATAACTCATCGAATAAGTCACAACCCTTTGGAACAGTCACTCCCATCAACGTGAAAAATTGTCTGCTTTTAATATAATATAGAATTGAACAAATAAATAAATATAATATAAAATACAGAATATATACTAAAATGAGTGTTTTATGTTGGGGGTATTATCGTAACTTAACATTTAAGTTCGGGAGTTCATTCTTTTAATGGTACTAGTTTTGACACACGTGCGTTGCACGTGAATATCAAACCATTTACCACCACACTATTTTAAAAGATAATGCGAATATTATTAAATAAAAAATTAGTCACTCTTAAAATCTCTTAGTTACACCTCTTAAATATACTTTCTCTTCCCTTCCCCATGGTTTAAACATTTGAGGAAGCCCCTCTTTTTATAGCCAACAAAGGGTAGTGTATTAGAAACTTCGTATTGTGCCTTATCAAAAAGAAGTCAAAACCCTTCAAAAAGGTCACAACTCATCGGAAAAGTCATAACTCTTCGGTAAAGTCGCCCCCCTCAGAAAAGTCACAACTGTTTGGAAAAATTGCAACCCTTTAGAAAAGTCACAACCCTTCAAAAAGGTCACAATTCATCAAAAAGTTATAATTCTTCGAAAATGTCACAACCCTTCAATGTGAAAACGTGATTGTCGTTAATATAATATATATAATATAATATAATATAATATAATATAATATAATATAATATAATATAATACACATAAATAAATATAATACAATATAAAATATAGAAGATCTTCTACATTTGGTGTTTTAAGTTTGGGGTATTATAATAATTTAACATTTAAGTTAAGTAGTTCATACTTTTAAGGTAGTATAGATAGATAAAAAAAAGATAGATATAGATTGGTCTAATTTTATTTTGATATGAAATTTTAAAAAATAAAGAAGACTTTTCTTTTAAAGATCATATGTAGAATATATAAAAATGTCTTTCAACTTTGTGGTCTTAAAGATGCCCCCACCCCCAAGAAAAAATAACATTCTACATTAAACAGAAGAAAAATAAAAGTACAATAAATAAATTGGAAACAAAAGAGTACTTATTAAATGTACTTTGGACTCTTCAAACAAGTATTTGATCAAATATTTTTTCTCCAACAGTTGAAGACTTTTCAGATTCTGAACACCAAGTTATTGTTTGTGCAACGAAAAATCGTTGAACTTATTGTCAAGTAGAAGTTGCTACAAAAGTATATTTTATGGCAATGAAATTGAGTACATATTAATTATCAAGATACTCTTCTCGTTTGAAGTTGAGTTATTTCAAAATTCTTCTTGTTGCTTTAATTTTTGTTGATCTATCTAATTTACCAACAAAAAATATTATAATAGCATAATTGAACAACTCTCACAACCTTCCTTGTTTTAAGAAGAAGAATAGAAAACTTACAAAATTCGTAGTTTGAGAAACCCCCTCTATTATAGACAACAAAGGATAATATGAAAAATTATTTATCCTGTCTTTTCAGATGAGTCACAACCCTACAGAAAAATCACAACTTTTCAGAAATGTCATAACTCATCAAAAAGTCACAACTCTATAAAAAAAGTTACAACCCTTCGCAAAAGTAACTACCTATCAATGTTAAAAGGTGTATGCTTTTAATATAGTATATAGTGTAAATAAATATAATATTAAATATAGAATATATACTAAATTGAGTGTTTTAAGTTGGGGTATTATAGTAATTTAACATTCAAGTTAGGGAGTTCATGTTTTTAAAGTAGTATAGATAGATAGATATAGATTTGAGAGTGAATATGTGCAGTTAGGAGATGCTCTCATAACTTTGCTGGCTTGCATAGTCAACAGAATCTTAACAGGTGATAGATATGTCTGCTGGCTTGCAAATTACTGGATGGCCAGCACATGATTCTGCAATTAGTTCTGTTCTGTTTGGTTCTGATGAGACGAGCATTTTCACTTTGGGTGTAGATGGAAAGGCAAGTTATTTAGCAATCATCGAATTCACTTTATTTTTCTTTCATTGAGTGCTTCTCCATATATTCAAGGTTTTCACCTTGCTGAAAGCTTAAATTTGTTAGCTGCATTCTGAAGAATCTAACTCAGTAGCATGTAAGACAGATATTTGAGTGGAGTTTGCAGAATCAAGGCAAAGTACTTTGGTCAAGTGATTGCAGCAGGTATGTGGATTGTTTTAATCCTTTAGTTTTGATATTTCATTCTTGTGTGAATATTCCAGTTAACTAGAAATATTCTTTTAGCCCTAGTCTCATGCTTGTGCATCTCACATGGTATTTAGCCAGAAGAAATCATTTATCATTATTAAAAAAGTATAAATATGGTATTTGTTATGATACAAATTCATGAGTCATGATAGGCACCAAAAGAGCGACCGCTTGATAGGCAAACCGCAAACATTTGATAGCAACAAACTCATATTCAAAATGATAGTATAAGCTATATAGATAAATCTCCAAGTATCACAGATGATAGTGGAAGAGAAGTATACGTTATAATGCCAAGGAGTTCCTATCCGTCCCAACAGTAAGTCGAGGAGAAGCTACATACTTTGAAGTATGCTGTTTGGGTCGTAGCCCGAAAGTAAAGAAACATAATATAAATAGCTTGAAGTACCACCACAACGTATGTGGTTCTTTCACCTCATCTGAAGCTAAGAAACCGTATAAATATCTTTGTATGCTCTCACCCTCAACATACCAGGTAATTTAAAGCAATTATGTATATTCTAAACAATGACTTCAGGAAAGCAAAACATTCGAGAGGTTAAAAGTCTCACTTGCCTTTAAATGCCTTTTCTTCACTTGAAATGCTTAAATCCACTAAGACGACCTCCGAAGGCCCCAATTTATGCAAGATAGTGAATAACGCATTCAAATTAGGTGCAATATTTCCATAATTTGGATAAGTCAGACAATGGAAGGTCAACCAAAAACTCAACCTCCGACCAAACTAGTCAAAATGCAAAACAAATTATAGAATCAGCATACCCATAAGCTCACATTTCATTTATGTAATCAACTTTCAATCTTGACTTGTATTGCTAGGTCGCATCCCCCCTTTTTTTTCATTTGTAGAACTAGGTTTAAAATCCTTAAGGCATTCAAATCTCATGTCAAAATCCACAAAAAAGGAAGTATGATTATCTTAATGCCTTAGGTCGAAATCACTCCATTGGTTGAGCCCCGCCCCTCATGTGTTCTTCCTTCTCCTAAATGGCAAAAACTAAGTGTTGTTTGTATTTATACTTGAACTGTCCTTCAGCGGCACCCAAGGGTATGCCTTAGTGGTTAATGAAGTGGTTGAGAATCCTGAGGTCTCGAGTTCAAAACCCAGTGGAGACAAAAAATACCAGGTGATTTTTCTCATTTGTCCTAGCCTTGGTGGACCGAGTTACTTGATACCTGTTGCTGGAGGGAGGTGACATGTATCCCGTGGAATCAGTCAAGGTGCGCAAAAGCTTGCTCGGACACCATAGTCATAAAAAAAGAAACTGTCCTTAGTGCTATCACACTCCTCCACAGTGATCATGATAATTAACTGAACTACCCTTAAATATGATTGCGGTCAGCTTGCACGATAGCGCAAACTTTTGAATTTTCCAATGTGTGGTTGTGGTCAACTTGTGCTGTTGCGCTGATCAAACTCTTCCCATATTGTGTGATTGGGCTTGGTGCAGAATGATTGTGGCTGCACCAAATATAACTTTAGGGATTCAAATCTATGTAAAAATCCACAAAAACAAGTATAATCATCTTAGGTTGTTAATTAATCATTATCTTAGTGCCTTGGGTCGAAATCACTCTGTTGGTTGAGCCCCCACAAGTTCTTCTTCATAATGGCACAATCTAATCAATGTTCATATGTATACTTGAACTGTTCTTCGGAGCTATCACACTCCTCACCAATCATGATAATTAATTGAACCGTCTTTAAGGGCTATTTTGGTCAGCTTGCACGATAGCACTGGCTTTTGAATTTTCCAATGTGCGATGGCAATCAACTTACGATGACCAAACTCTTCCCACATTGTGTGATTGGTCCTGGTGCAGAATGATCGTGGCTGCACCAAATAAAACTTTTGATTTTTAGGTTCTACCATGTCCAAAACCACCCAAACTCTTGAGTCACATTTCAAATCAACGCGCAAGTAATAATTAGTAATACGATCTTATACATATGCTTAAACTACATATGGAATGCAAATATAAAACATGAAAGGGTTGGGTTATATTTTCGCCCACTTAAACTCTTGTTTGGGTATATTTGAGCTATCAAATAAGTGCATGTATTTGCTCTACATGTCTGCCCTAGTCTCTTAGTTACTTCATCGTGCGGATGATTCCTCCATGAACACTTCCACCAAAGGAAGTTTATTTGATTCTCAACTTGCAAACCAACCTGTCTAAAATGGGCACGAGGGCTTTCTTATAGGATAAATCGGGTCCAATTGAGGCTTCATTTGATTGCACTTAATGAAGGTCTTAATCTTTAACATTCAAATCCTACTCATTAAGTTTGTTTGTTTTTTGTGGTTTGAATCTTTATCATTTATGTCTTAATCATTAAGTGCGTTTGCTTTTCTTATTTTACAATTACTTAATGAGTTTGAAACCTCATTTGTTTCCATTAAGAGTAACACGCCTGAATTTGAATAACATATTATAATGTGCATTAAGATCTAGATGTCTAGATCTGAATACATATCTGAATATTAAGATGTCTCTAGATCTGAACACTGAATGATTAAGATGGTTTTCAATATCTGAATGTGCATATGAAATTAATTTATATCAATAAAATATTATAAAAAAATTATTGTCAAAAAAATATTACTTCTTTGATAAAAAAATATTTTAAATGTTTATATTTGATTGAAAAAAATCAAATTATATGATATGCAAATAAAAATTATATATCAATACAAAAATTATTATAACATGGTTGTTTTAAAGAATTCAACATAAGCATTTCATAAAAAAATTATCCAATTAATCAAATAATAAAGAAGGTTTCACATTATCAACGCCTAACATGTACTATAGCTAATTAGAAAAATGAAAGAATTTCTATTTTTTTCTTGATGACCTTAATCCAATTCTCTAACTTGTGCACCTCTAGTGTCGTCCATGCCCTTTTGTATCTATCAATTTCACAAAATATATTAACAGTATGGTTCTTCACGTCAATGCCATCTAATTTTTCCTTTCATTCTTCTAAGTTAGTTGTGCTATTTTTTTAATCAATAACTCTAAGACAATATTCGTCTTCTCATGAATTTCCAATTGAGACAAATTTTTCTTTTCATCCCAAAACTCTTTTATCAGGCGAAATTGAAGATCGGGATGGAGAATTATTAAGACCTCCATCATTTTTGTCACCAACTAGATCTTCAACTCCATTAGGAGTATCTATATTTATAGTAGGAGATTCAAAAGAGATACTAGGACAGGAATAGGTACAACTTGGACTCCAACCATGACCTCTTGTTGCAGTAGAACCTTTGAAAAGTTTTGTACACAAATCTTGGAAGGGTAGAGGTGAAGCGTTCTTGATAAACATCAATACACCCCCAAAAAATTGTTAATATAAAAAAATACTTGTAAAGATTATGATAATTTACCAGTTCAAAGAGGAAAAAGTTGGTATTTGATTGAGAAAAAAAAGGAAGAAAGTTTGTCGCGCGAGAGAACAAAGTCGCGCAAGGAAACCTAGGTTAACAAAGGAAGAATCTGCTAGAGAAGTTGGCTACTTTGGACAACATTGCTATAACAGCAGAAGAGTCAATGGAGAAGGCATCCTTAATCATGAACTTTGAGCAGCTAATCAAGAATGAAGAGATCTTGTGGAGATAATAAAGATCTAGATTCTTGTGGTTGAAAGAAGGGGATAAGAATACCAAATTCTTCCACAAGATGTCTAATTCACACAAGAGATATAACAACATTGACCAACTTCTTGTTCAAGGGAATCTGATCAGAGATCAAGAAAGGATTCAAGGGGAAATAATGGAATTTTACCAAAACCTGTACTCAGAGAATGTCCAGTGGAGACCTGCCAGCAACTTCACAAATTGCCCAAGGCTGACAGTGGAGGAAATGGAAGATTTAGAAAGGTGATTTGGAGAGGAGGTACTGAAATGTCTAAAGTAGTGTGCAATTGATAAAGCACCTGGTCCAGATGGGTTTACAATGGGGTTCTACATCAAGTGTTGGGAAATGGTAAAAAATGATATATGAAGACCTTCCAGAATTTCTACGAGCAAGGAAGGTTTGAAAGACGTTTCAATGCTATCTTCATAGCTCTTATTCCAAAGAAGAAGGTGCTAAAGAATTAATAGAGTTCAGGCCCATCTAGGTAGTATTTACAAGCTTTTCTCGAAAGAGCTTACTGAAAGATTGAAAAGAGTGATGGCTAAGCTTGTGGACTCACAATAACTGACATTCATCAAAGGAAGATAGATTATGGATGATGCCCTCATAGCAAATGAAGTAATAGACTCCAGGGTGAACTTGAAGAAACCAGGAATCCTATGCAAATTAGACATTGAGAAAGCATATGATCATGTCAATTAGGGATTTCTTATGGATTTGCTAGAGAAGATGGAATTTAGATACAAATGGAATAAGTGGATAAAATTTTGTATATCAACAGTGAACTTCTTTGTACTTATTAATGGTTCACCAGCAGGTTACTTTAATTCACAGAGGGGCCTAAGACAAGGTGATCCTCTATCACTCTTTTAGTTCCTCTTAGTCATGGAGGGACTGAACAACATGATTAAGAAAACAAATAGGGAAGGTTGGTTAAGAGAATTTGAGGTTGCTAGAGTTGGAAGCGATAGCTTGAAGGTAACTCATCAGTATGCAGATGACACACTTATATTATATGATGCTGAAGAAGAGCATCTCAAAATACTGAGACTGATCTTGGTAATATGTGAAGGAATGTCAGGTTTGCATATTAACCGGAGGAAAAGCTTCTTATATCCCGTTAATGAAGTGCCAAACATGGAAATCTTAAAGTCAATCTTAGGGTGTGAAGTGAGTGCTCCACCAACTATCTACCTTGGATTGCTTTTGGGGGCCAAGTCTATGTCTATGGAAATCTGGAATGGGGTGATTGAGAAATGTGAGAAGAAGTTAGCAAGGTGGAAGTCCCAATATCTCTCCTTGGGTGGAAGATTGACCTTGATAAGCTCTGTGCTTGATGCACTTCCAACGTATATGATGTCATTGTTTCCTATCCCACTAGGAATCATCAATAGGTTGGATAGCATCAGGAGGAAATTTCTATGGCTAGGGAACAAAGTCAGGAAGGGTTACCACCTAGTAAAATGGAAGACAGTGATCAATGAGAAAAGATTTGGGGATTGGGGATCAAAAATCTGAAGAATCAGAGTAAAGCTTTAAAAATGAGACACTAAGGAAATATTCAAATGAAAATCAAAGTCTATGGGTCAGAGTCATTAAAGCTAAATATGAGGAGAATGATAATTGGATGACAAAGGAGGTCACTACTCCTTATGGTGTTAGCTTATGGAAATCTATCAGAATTTTGTGGAATAAATTCAAAGTTAATACCATAGTCAAAGTGGCAGATGGAGTTAAAACTGTCTTTTGGAAGGATGATTGGCATGAAGCAGCAACATGGAGACATTATTCATTATTCCTAGATATTTATAACTTAGTTTTACATCAACACAGCACAATAGCAGAATTGTGGACACCTCAAGGGTGGAATTTTGTGTTCAGGAGACACTTCAATGATTGGGAAATACCAAGTACCAAGAGTAATAGAATTCTTCAGCACCATCGACCAATTCAGTGGTTTGAAGGCTGGAGAAGACATCCTACAGTGGCAGGGAAATAGTAACGGGACTTTTAAAGTAAATGCAGCCTATAGGAAGATAAGCAACCAAACCAATAGATACTTCGATGGAAAGCCAAAATCCCACACAAAATATATTGCTTTGTCTGGTTATTGGCTAAGGAAGTAGTGCTGACTCAAGATAACTTGATGAAAAAGAGGATCCCTTTATGTTCCAGATGTTTTTCTATCGGGAAATTGCAGAAACAGTGGTCCATCTATTTATACATGCAAGGTCACAAGTCAACTATGGAGATTATTCCAATGTCTCAAAAACGTATCTTGGTCCATGCCAAGGAAAATCATAGAAGCATTACAAAGTTGAGAAGAAGTAGGAGTACACGCTAAGAACAGAAACAACTGGAGAATTGTACCTGCAGCTACATGGTGGACAATATGGAAGGAGAGGAACCTTAGAGTTTTTCAGAATATGGAGTTGAACAAGCCAAAATGAATTGTATTTTGACTTTATGTTTATGGTGCAACCAGATATACTCTAATGATACTTACTCTAATGATACTACTCTATCATTGATGTCTTGGACTCATTATAAGGATAGGACAATAAATTTTGAGTTCTTTTGTAAATATGGTTTCAGTACAACCCATGTAATGTGTTACAGAATTAGAAACAATTACCTATGTCAAAAAAAAAATAACTAGGAAACTTTCATAATAGGAAACTCTAAAATAGGAAACTTTAAAATAGGAAGCTTTTAAGGGATAAGGCACAAGTACCCCCGACACTCTGACCGAAATCTCAGACACACCGAAACTTAACTAGGGTCCTATTACCCTCCTAAACTAATTTAAAATGGAATAAATACATCATAAATGTTGACGTGGCATAGAGAGTGTGCATACTTTCTTGAAGGCAAGTGATGAGTGCACAAGTTAGACACATGTCATTGTTTAATTGGTAATTTTATAATTACACATATTTATTGATATTAAAATTTTATATATATTTAATTATTTTAATTTCGTTCTCACTTTAAACTTTTTTTTTAAAAAATAATTTTTTATTTTTTCATTTTTAATTAATTTTTAAAAAATTATGTGTATTTTCTTAAAAAAATAATCAAAAGTGTCCTTTAATTTTAACATTTATGTTTTATTTGATTTTCTTCACTTATTTTGATATCCGTTCGAAATTAACTCATTTTAAATACAAGATATTTGGAATTAAATTTGAAATCAAATCAAAACGAAAGACAAAGAAAATAAAAAGAGTAAATAAAATCAATAGAAAATGAAAGATAAAAAACAATGAATGAAGGTAAAAGTTCCGTTAAAAGGTAAAAAATGTGTATTAATTAAACTTAAATAAAAGATAAAGAAAGTAAAATTATTTCTTTAAAATAAAAATTAAAAAATTTAAAATAATATTTACACATGTGGCAAGCACGTGTGTACACGCACAACCAACTTGGGTGGTTGAAAGTGCCACATCAACACAAAAGGTGCACATAAATACGAAATGAGTTTGAGGGGTTAATAAGACCCTAGTTAACTTTAGGTGTCTCTGGGACTTCGGTCATAGTCTAGGAGGTACTTGTGCCTTATCCCAACTTTTAAACTAGGAAAACATATAAATATAATACCAAAAATTCTTTCCTAAGGAAATAAGCAAAAGTTCCCAAAAAGGATTTCCAACTTTGACCAAAATATGTGGTCCTTCCCAAGTCACTTGCACGTGAACAAGAATCTTGCAACTCCTTATCCTTGGTGACTGTCTTCTTAGGGCTTCTATAGCATCATCCTTGTCCATGGAGCTATCATGCTGCGAATATTGCAAAACAATAGGAGTTTATTGACGATGTTTCTAGGAGTCCCTTCCGTTTTGAGCAAGTAAGCAAACATCTTTTTTTAGTTTTTCCCAAGCTTTTTTTGCTCTCTCACAAGCAATGATTTAAGGAAAATTTGAATCAGCAATTGAATTCTGAATTACAGTTTTGGCTTTAAATTTTTTTGTTTTTTCATCTGAATGAGATTCAATTTGGGGAAGGATAGGATTTGCAGGAGTGGTTGTAAGGTATATCTTTCATTACAACTTCCCACATATCAGACTTCAAGATGTGATTTTATTTTCATTGACGAAACATGATAGTTTTCGCTAGTGGAATTTTTGGGGCATTTTAAGAGAGAGATTGCTGCTTGCCATGTTTGAAAATAGGTTAAAAATTGATATTGGTTAAATATAACATACGCGATGGAAATAAACACCGGTTGAAAGTAGCCTTGATGAGTTAAAAATGGGTTGAAAGTAGCTTTTTAGAAGAATTCACGGATCTTAGAAGATTAATGAGGCTCTTCATACCATTGTTCGTTTTTCTAAAAGTTTGTGAAGCGAAAAGGTTGAAAGTATTGATTAAAAATATCTCTCAACTTTTATTAAGCACAATAGGGTTTTAAATAGCCAATGTGAAAACGTAATCTGCATAACAATAAATCAAAAAGGCTAAATAATCTCAACAACAAAAACAATCTCATAGAAATTCAAAATTCAAGTTTATCCTAAACCTAAACAGCTTATTATGCTAAAAATTACTGCAATAGTGAAAAACAAATTTCAATAGGTTTCAATGGCATGCTATGAAACTCATATCCCTGTCATTTTGGCATGGTGCTAGGTGATTAATGAAGGTTTTGATGAGTAACAATCAATTGTGTAAATTTATTAGGCAATGAAGAAGAATGATGTATTTAGGTTGACATGAGTTTCCTTCAAACTGTTCATATATCCAGCTCTGGGGGATGATTCAGCCATAAACTCCCTGTTTCCTAGAGAAACTGGATAAATCAAAGTTGTTAGGACCTTCGAACTGTATACTGACCGGGGGAAAAGAAATTAAATCTACATGATTTTTTAGCTCATGAGATGGGTTGCACTGTGCTTGAATATTATTTGTCAGAATAGGAACATGATTTATATAATATCCTACTTTTTCTTTGTAATGTAGTATTTATAAATAGGGCTCTATGTAATGATATAGAGTACACAATTCAATAATATTTTCTTCTTTATTTTCACATGGTATTAGAGCAGGACTAATTCCAATTTTCATTTCCTGATGTTGGGCCCTTATATTAAATTGCCCATGCACCAGTTGTCCATCCCTAGGCGTGGGTGTGAGGGGTTAAGGGATGAGTGGTCTCTTTAGTTTGGCTTGGGTAATACTCACCTCTTGAGTTAGCATTTGGAATTGAATAAGGCCCAAGATCCTTTTCTTTACAATACTTTCTATCAAGCAGCATATTTTTTTTTCCTTTTCCCATTAAATTTGTTCTCTAAGTTAAAAGTTGTTCTCTTTTCCTGTCTTGTTGTAGAATAAGATGCTTTACATCTATCATTCCTGTATTGTAGATTCTGTAACCTTAGGAGTTCGTCACACTATAAACATGAAATGGCTCTCGATGCTTATGGAAGAAGACTTCTGGTGACATCCAACTCCCTGAGGGCGCCTATATATCAGGTAAACTAGTTTCATGCAGAATGATGTGTTTAGGTTCCCTTGCCTCAGTCTCAGGGCCTAACTATACGTTCATAAGCTCTAGGTTTGCCTCTTAACTGAAAATGGAACAATCATTTATGGGAGTCACAGAAAGTTGTCCCATCAGTAAACCGATTGGATCTCTCTTTTATTAGTTGTTATGCGTATTGACAACTTCTGTTGGGACTAGCAGTGCTCATATGATGTCACAAGTCCTGGGGGGAGTCTGATAAGATGTAGTTTCATTGGTCCTTGCTATGGCCCCTGTTTGTTTCCAGTTACTGTTATTTCTTGCCTTGCTGGTTTACTGAAGTCTAATTTATTGACAATAAATGATTGTTAATTGTATCAGGTGCGAGGTCATGCATATGGGATGAGAACTCTTCCTCATAGTGCATCTATAACAACAGTAGACTGGCATCCGACATCACCCATCTTCTTGACTGGATCTGCAGATCACTCTGTTCGGGTTACATCTATGGCGTGACAACTTCTGATTTGTCTGGTGTGTTTATTTGGATAGTCTGATTTAAAGGAGATGAGTTGAAACTGTAATATTTATTCGTTCATCCAGTGTGTACGTGAACCTTAAAGCTATCTGTCCATTTTTAAGTTTGATTACAACCATTAGTCAAAGGGATCATCAGAAGCACAGAGTAGAATATAAAGGTGGTAGCTCGTTGTAAATGAGGCTTACTGAAATATTAACTGAAAAAAGGACAAAGAAGAGAGGTCTTGCTTCACGGACTCTTTGGGAACCACAAAAATCTCTTCAGGCGTCACAATTGAATTTTGTGTTGATTGTACGATAGTTGAACAATTGGTTTAGTTTATGCAATCAGCATCTGAACATCAGCTTTGAACTATCTGATACATTGAGAAGGGATTGCTTTGAATAATTGATAATGGCCTAGATTATTTAGCTTCATGTACTTGGTGTTCTAATATCATCATACCCAGTGTTTTGATTGGTCCCTCCAACATTAGAGGTTCTTTTACATTTACATGTGGCCAATGTCTCGTAACATTCCAATCCTTTTTTTAAGTTTTATGTCACAATATTTATTTTGAGACTTTGTATAAGTTATTTTCTTCATTTAGGACTTATTGACTGATTTGGTTTCAGACCCGAGAGATTCGGGTCAGTTTCAGATCACTTGAAACCTAAATGGATTGTAGATTTCTCTCTCAACTGGTGCATCGTGATTGCAGTCACCACCTTCCATCAACAGTATTGACAGAGGAGAATGAAAGGCACCACTTTGATATATGATCTTTTATGGACTTCGGGAAGTCAATTTTTCCTGCTGACATTGCCACACAATTTCACGGCAGAGAAACTGCGGTGAGATGAGGCATTGTGATCGCATTGACTTGACTGCGATAGTCTTAAGTCCCTAACCAATTTACCAGTCATGGTCTAGGGTGAGATGAGGCATTGTGATCGCATTGACTTGACTGCGATAGTCATAAGTCCCCAGCCAATTTATCAGTCATGGTCTAGTTATGGGATGGCAAAGACCATGTTCCAATACCAACATTGTTCTATCATATGAGTTTGCATTGTTTTAGGTGTAATCACCATGAAACTTTGACCTGACGATCCTAAGACAATTCTTGAGTTATTTACATGTAATTTTAAGATCAAAACAGGAGATATCAAATGTCCTAAAGTGGTTTTAGCCCTAAATTCCCAAATCATCATTTAAGGGATTTAACCTAGTAAACTAAGTCAAGATTGGATTTTTGCTATATATTTGGACTCCCTCGTTTGTGAGCAATCCATTCATGTAAATCATTTTGAGTTTCCATTAACTTGTAATTGACTTTGACAAAAGCCTAAACTTTAGAGATGGGTCCAATGTATAGCTAACCTTGAGAATGATCGATTTGAATAGATTTGGAATGTTTGACAGATAATGAGAGAAGAAACAAAGTAGTTTTGGATAGTTAACTTACATGAGTATTAGGTATGTTGAGATTTTGGACCTGAAAATGTGGTTTTCTCAGGATACATGCCCGAACAAGTTATTTGAATAATATGCATATGGAGGTGATTATGTATGCATTATTCTAATGTATGCCTATGTTGTGAGTTCATATATACTTTTATAAGCTTTAATTATGTAATGACCAGTTTTGTCGTTATTGAACCTTCTGCGATACAAGCATACGATTTTTTTTCTTCCAAAATATGAGTCCTGTTTTGAAATAGTTAGAGCCATGACGTAGCAGTCAGAAGGTCGTTGTAGTAGATGCGTTGCAGCAAAAGGGTAACCACTACAACGAAGAATGAAGGACAGAATCTCAAGTTAAGTTAGTTTTAGGAGTTTAACTCCTAATCTAAGGATAACTTCCTCCTAAAACCGCCCCCATGATAAATTCTACAAAGAAAGAGCTTAAGAAAAGTGTAGAGGAGACTTTTACTTAAGTATAACTTGATTATTGAATCGTGTATGTATTATTGAATTGACAGAGACAACATGATTAGGTCTCCGGTCATTGTGTTCAGATTTAAGCCCATTAAGTGCATTTGTTTTATTTTTTAAAAAATATCTCTTAATAGGTCTATATACATTTGAGCAAAACAGATTTGTAAAAGAGTCTTAACACCATTCAAACTTAAAATACATCTCTTATTTCTCTCTCCCAAACTTTCGCTCGTTCTTTTTTCTTTTCTCATCTCTTTCATATATCAATGAAGCAACATGAAATGTTTCTTTTGAATTGATAGCATCAAAATCTGGATTGGGCAAGAGATATAAAGGAATGAAGAAAATAAGTGCAACTATTGTCATAAGAAGTGAAAAGGTGCTCAATATTTTGTGAATCCAATCCAAGAAAAAATTCATGTTTATATTCAAGTTCTTAAAATTGAGAACACTGAATTTTTTTCATTTTGTGAATTGTGATGAAAATGCTCAACTAAGGAAGAACGAGCCTTAATAAAAGCAATCAAACCACCCATCTCCTCAGAAATACGTAATCGGACGAGACTGTTGGTTAACCTTTGAACATCTCTAGCCAATGGTATCCCCTCCACACTAATAGCGGCAAGACTTCTGATGAGTCCACAATTTGGACTCATTTAGGGCTTCATTTTAATAGAATTAATGTCCTCAAATGCATATTTTGTTTCAATAACTGATGTAAACCCTTAAGTTTGAGGCAAAGCATGGACACTACTTGGCAAAAAGGAACAAAACGACTGAAAAGACGAAGAAAAGAAGGCCTGAGGATCGCCTAATGCATTCGGCGAGTCACTGAATGGCCTTCACCTCACCCAAAGTTCCAGTGTGCTGAGCCCTGAAGGAAAAGATCAAGTCGGCGATGAAAAGGAGCAGTCGACGTGTCGCCGAATAGTTCTGCGAGGCAGTACTATATCGCCCAATGATCCAGAACGCGAAGATGCTGAAAGGCGATGAAGCAGACCAAAGGGCGGATCGCCGAGTGCATCGGCGATCCCGACTAACTGCGCCGAGTGTTCCTTCGCAGCACAATATTTGACAACTATAAATACTAGTTTGAAATTTTATCTTAGTATGCAATTTCAGATACAACAATTTTATTTTCCAAGTTTTCAAGTAGAGAATATTTTTGCTTAGCTTTTGGAGACTTGAAGACTTCCAATTCCAATAAATTGGAAGTGGGTGTTGAAGATTCTTCATCCTAGACTTGATTTAAGTGAATATAAATCATACCCAGTTGATGTTACTTTGATTTGGTATCATTTTTTTTTTCTATGTCTAGCTAAAACCTCAATTCTTAGGGTGTGATTTTGTGAATATGGGTTAAATTTCCTGTTGGGTATTGCTTATTGTTAGTCTATTTGCTGTTTACATGTGATTTCATTTAGTAGTTGTGTTTGAACTTAATGGGATTATAGTTGCAAATACAATTTCATCTCAGTGTATTTGGCTTGCTCGAGAGAGAGGTTTTAAAACTAAGACTACTAAATCGATAGCCGGTGGTTATTGGGTCGTCATGGGTTCAGCTCGAGAGAGTGAATCCTAGGCCTTTTCCCACACATTCAGCTCGAGAGAGTGAATGGGCTTAGGCGGAGGCTGTGCTTAAAAGCGACAACTCGATGTTCGAGAGAAACCAAGTTGATTTGGGGTAAGTTGCTCGAGAGAATTTACCCCCACTAATGTCTAGCCTAGTTACAAATGTTCAGCAATTGATTATCAATAGCAATTACCCGATTGTGTATTTTATCCCATATTCCTATCACATCCCAAGAATTCCGTCTCCTATATTCACAGCTTTGTGTTTTTACTGTTTTTGTTCATTAATTGAATACAAACCCCCCATTGATAATTGGTATTCGTGTCAACCCCTTAATTTATCATGTGTTTACTCAATAATGTTTTTAGCTATGGTTGACTCTAGCATATTCACACTTAACTCTTAATTCTCAGAAACCGCTCCCTTGGGACTCTACCCCAACCCATTCGGTTGGGTTATATTACTATTGTACGATCGTAGACACTTGAATCGGAAGTTGTGTCTTGATTACGCAAACATCAAAAAATGGCACCACTACCGAGGAGTGGTGTTACTTGAGAATTTCGAGTTGAGTAGAATTACGTTTTTGTTAGTCGTAGTTTACTTACTTAATTTTTAGTTTAGTTTTGTTTGTTTGTGTGAATATTTCAGGAACTATGAGTGTGAACGACAGCAATGGCAGCCAAGTAGGCCATCAAGACGACATTGGAAATCTTAACGATGTAAATAAGCCTCATGTTAATGACCCCCATCTCATGGGAGGTATTGGTGCCATTCGCTTGCCTCCGGCGAAGGGAATGCTGTATTTCACATCACGAGTACTATGTTGCAACTCTTGCAACTAAAGGGGTTTTTCAATGGATTGGCTCATGAAGACCCTCATGAGCACATTCAAAATTTCGTGGATGTGTGCAGACCATTCTCTTTCAAAAATATATCCCAAGAGTCGGTTTGTTTATATTTTTTCCCATTATCTTTGATGGGAGAAGCATTCAAGTGGATAGCTGAATTGCCACGCGACTCAATCACTTCATGGGAGGAGTTGGTCACCGCATTTAATGTGCGATATTTCCCTCCCTCGAAGATGATGACTCTTCGGGACAGTATCCAAAGCTTTAAGCTTTTGGAGGGCGAGCCAATTCATGAGACTTGGCTGCGATTCAAGAAGTTGGTGCTTTAATGCCCAACTCATGGCTTTTCTGATAACGTATTGCTGTAATATTTCTACCGGAGCCTAGACTCGGGAAACAAGGGCGTTGCTGACCAACTTTCTCCATGAGTTTTGACGCAACAACCTTACGTGATAGCAACTCAGCTATTGGATGGCATGACCACGATAAATCGAGCTTGGTACACCCGTGAAGACCAAGTCTCCCATCTTACATTCAAATTGACCAAGGAGCAGATGGAAAAAGATCAAGAGAGGGACCAAAACATGGCCACGATCATGACACAACTTGACATTTTGTCCAAAAATGTCATAGGAGCTGGTGCTCGGGGTGTCAATGTTGTTGGTATCGGGTGTGCAAATCCGGAAGAGGCAAAGTTTGATGCTTTGTACAATGAAGAGGTGAA